GAGGAGGAGGAAGGGGAAGAGGAGGAGGAGGAGGAGGAGGAGGAGGAAGGGGAAGAGGAGGAGGAGGAGGAGGAGGAGGAGGAAGGGGAAGAGGAGGAGGAGGAGGAGGAGGAGGAGGAAGGGGAAGAGGAGGAGGAGGAGGAGGGGAGGAAGAAGAAGAGGAGGAGGAAGAGGAGGAGGAGATTAGGGAAAGTGAAGCAGATTTAAATATACAAGTTTACAGAAAGGATCCCAGCATAGAGAACAGGCAAAAATGTGTGTTGTGCTGATTTGGTACAAGTCTGTGATTTTTTAAACCTCTGATCTTGAGAGGTTCCTGCCTTCTTTTTTCCATAGGCTGAGATTTTAGAGAGTCACAATCTTGGGTTTTTTCTGGAAAGCCCTCTTCCCAAGTTCTCTGTGAAGAGTCCAGGTCTAGAGATTGCCTCCCTTTCTTACCTTGGGCTCAGTTGTGTATCAGACTGTCTGAAATTTCTCAGCTCTCAGAGTTCTGAGACAAGCATGCTCCAGCCACCAGCTCGGAGAGAGAGAGGCTCAGTATCCCCTGTTTACCTGTGACCGTTCAACAAGCTCTAAGAGCACTTCCTACTGAAAATGGAGCATCATGATTGGTCTCTTACACAGGCAGGTATCATCACGCCTTGGCTCTATCCATCTTTCTTCCCATTGTTGTGTAATAAGATTATGTTTCCATTCTCATTGGGATGTTTGTTTCCAGTGTCTCCATGTCTCCCTCCCAAACCTGTGTTCTCAAGGGCTTGTGAATGAACATGGTCAGCAGTCATGAATGAAAGCAGCTTAGGAGTCACCATGTCTTGAACATGCAAGTACTCACCTTCAGAAAAGTTTCCAGATGCTTCCCCCAAATGGCTGCACACTTTTAAGTTCCATTTAATTAAATAATTTCATTCATTCATTCATTTTGTATATATATGTCATACTTCTAGAGTTGACTTTTCCCCTTCCACCATTTGGGTCTTGGGAATCAAAGACAGAATGTCAGGCTTTGCAGCAAGCACTTTCACCTGCTGAGCCATCTTGCCAGCCTACAACACAGGCAGGCCTTTGTGCATACCAATATGTATATTGTCCCATGCACATATGGAAAATAGACTGGTAATAGTGTTGGACCAGGAGTTGGAAAGTTAAAGGGCAAGCTGGGGAAAACAGAAACATCAACAATCTATGCCTTTGGAATAGGAGCATTTTAAAGATTTTATTATTTTTAATTATATGCATGCGGGTGCAGGTGCCTGAGGATGCGAGAAGAGGGCGTCAGATCCTCTGGAGCTAGAATTACAAGTGGTTGAGAGCTGCCCAACTTCGGTGCTGAATCCAAACTCAGGTCCTCTGCAAGGACAGCAAGCAAGCATTCTTGACCTCAGAGCCGTAGCTCCAGCCTCTGAATGGAAGCATTTAAAAGTATTTAGTGGTATTGTTTCTCAGTTACAGGGGAGTGGGGGCATCTCCGCAGGTGCCTCTGCCCTCTCTGCTTTCATTAAACCCACCAAGATAGTTTCCAGACTCCCCACGAAGCCTGAAGCTCAAACCCTTTGACCCCCACTGCTGTCTGGGAAAAGCAACAAGTAAGGGGGAAACAGAGAACTCCTTCGAGGGAGTCCAGCTTCGGGGAGGAGAGGTTAATAAAACAGCGGGGCTGAGAGAGTAAACACCGTAGCTAATCGCTTCCATAAATTCCAAGCGACTGTGGAGCTAAGGTGTGGTCTGGGCTCTGCTGACAATCTGGAAAGACTTGATGGTTGGGAAATCTCGGAAGACGAGAGGATAGGGAAGGAGAGGAGGCAGTGATGAGGACCTGTGGACTCGGTGCTGTGCCCATTCTCCTTCCTTCCAGAACATTCCACCACCACCCTTCCTGCCCCCACTTCCACTACACACACTTCATTATAGGATTACTAGTTTAGCCGGTCGGTGGGAGCACTTGAGAGACAGAGGCAGGTGGATTTCTGAGTTCGAGGGCAGCCTGGTCTACAGAGTGAATTCCAGGACAGCTAGGGCTACACAGAGAAACCCTGTCTGGAAAAACAAAACAAAGCAAAATAAGAGAGTACTGGTTTATTCTCATTCACGACTATCCCCCTCATCTACCCACTGGGTTTCCAGCCCTGGTCCATCCCACATACCCAGAGGTACCTGTTTCCCCAACTGGAACCAACAAGATGCAGCTGATGCACTGGACTTGGGGGGGGGCAGCACTACTGGATCATCTGCCTCTCTCAATCACAGTCTTTTGGATGTGATAATAAACAAGCACAGGACCATTGCTGTATCCTGGTGAGAATTGCTACTCAGGGTCATCCCAACAGGCACACTTGCTTCCTTCCTTGTTCATTTATCATCCATCCATCCATCCATCCATCCATCCACTCACCCATCCATTCATTCATTTTGATAATGATGATGTAACTGGGAATGACTTTGAATTCTGTTCCTCCTGCCTCTACCTCCTGAGTGCTAGGATTATAGGCATATACCATCATGCATACATATACATATATATATATTTAATACTAGTGCTGTATATAGTATAGTGTAATCTAAGCATTTGGGAAGTAGAGGCAGGGAATCAGTATTCAAGCATAGCCTGAGTTATATAGCAGGTCCCAGATTAACCTCAGAAGGCTAGTGAGAGTCTTATAACTACGGTGGGGGGAGGGTGCTGGGGGGGTGAGGGAAAGCTCAGTAGCAAGGGTGGGTGGAGCCTGGGAAAGAGCCCAGGCAGAAAGGCTGCAGAGGTGGGGGCAGAGGGCAGAGTAGTCTCTGTTGGCATCTGTTCCACAGACCACATGATTCTTGCAGTCATCAGTGCCTGGACTTCACCTGACCAGCTCTAAGTAAATGATTAAGAATTGAGGATGGCAGTAAAGAATGAGTATTGCTGAAGCCTAGGGGCAGAACATGGTGTACATGTATAAGAAGGACAGACAGACAGACAGACAGACAGAGGCACGAGGAAGATAATAGGTCATTGGGGAAATTATTCATAAGCTTTCAGATCCCCAGCACCCATGTAAAAACTAGATACAGCTGAGCATCTGTGATCTTTGCTCTCCTACCGGAAGGTAGGAGGTAGACATACATATAGGCTAATTGTACAATAAAAATAAATAAATACTTAAAAATAAAAAACAACAAGAAGTATAACAGAATGTCATTAGAAGCTATTTTATTGCTTTTTTTTCTCCATAACAGTAGTACTAGGTTTTACTCTAGGTTCCTGGGTTATCTACTCTTAGGTTCTTGGTCATCCAAGTAGCATCGAGGATGGGTTCCATCTAATATGATAGGCCTCAACTCAAACCAGACATTAGTTGGCGACTCCCACAGGCTTTGTGCCACCATTGCCCTAGTGTATTTAGCAGGCAGGACATCATTGTAGGCCAAAGGGTGAGTACCTGGGTTGGTATTTACCTTTCTCCTTGGGTAGCATGCAGAGTACATTCTGGTTCTGCTAACACTAGCCCATAAGGGTGAAGGCTGTGGGTAGGCACCAGCTTGATCTCTCTGTGTTTAATGAGTTGTGTAGGTGTTGTCTTCAGCAACAGATTCTTGCTGTCAATTTAGGAAGAGCAACTTATAGCTTTGGCAACAGCCAGGGTTGTTTGGGGGTTCCTATGGAACACTTTGGGTCAACAATTAAATCGGACAGAAGCTATCCCAAGTCCTGGAAGCTCTATTTGGTGACAAGAGATGTTCAGCTGGAGCTCTGTCTTCCCTGTATTTGGCAATTTCATTTATTGCACCTTCATTTATGTATTTATCTTAGGAAGCTTCTACCGTATTAGGTTTCCAAATAACCCCTTAATTTTAGCTGTCCTTCCCCGTAGCACGTCTCTTGTTCGCCTCTTCCCTTCCCTTCTCCGTTTGATCCTCCCTTTCTAGCCTGCCCCTGTAATGTTCATCTATAACCATCTATTTTATTTTCCCATCCTGGCGAGATCTATCCCTGTCACCTGGTCCCTCTCTATAGCTAATCAGTGGTTCCACGGATTGTAGCTGGGTCTCATTTGGCTTTACAGCTAGCATCAGCGTCCACATATAAGTGAACGCACACCAATTTGTCTTTCTGGGTCCAAGTTACCTCACTTGGGATGATTTTTTTTTCTAGTTCCATCCATTTACCTGCAAATTTCATATTTTCATTTGTTTTTTTAACAGTCTAGTAAAGTTTCTTTGTGTGAATGTACCACAATTTTTATCCATTCATTTGTTGATGAACACCTGGATCAAAACACTACTTTTGAAAGTAGGGCACATGCCCAGAAGTAGATGGCCAACAACAACAACAAAATGAACTCAAAAGCATCTTTTGTAGTTCCGTGTCTGAGAATGTTGTCAGGGCTCCCTCCCCCACACCTTTTTTCCTTTTAAAACTTATAGGCCCTTTGCATATATATTATGGCTTCTGGTGTTGTGTTTGTATATAATTCCTGTGGGTGTGGCTGTGTGTGTCTCTGTGTATGTTTCTTGTGCTTTTTCTTTGGCATTTTTCCTTCTGTTTGTTTTGTTCTATTTCAACTGTTCTTTTTTAATCATATCACCACACTATATAGTATTACATTACAGTCTCTTAGATGCCTGTTATTTTTCTTTTATTTTTTGTGTTTGTTTTTGGGTTCCTTTGAGTTGCTCTGACTGTCCTGGAACTTATTCTGTGGGCAGAATAAGCAGAGATCTACCTGCCTCTGCTTCCCAAGTGTTGTAATTAAAGGCTTGTGCCCCATGTCTAGCTTCCTGTTTTCTAAGGAAAGACAGAAAAGAAGTCAATCTGGATGGCGGGAGGTGGGAAGGAACCAGAAAGAGTTGGGGGAGAGAAAACCATAAGTAGGATAAAAAACACTATTTTCAATTAAAAAATATTTTAAATAAAAATAAAGAGATAAATAAATACATAAATGAGTACATAACTCAATAAAAACTAACAAGTTGGAAGATGAGCACTAGCATGTAGTACAACCAATTTAAACTTATCCCCAACTAGCTTACAAATAAGTGACACTCAGACTATGATTATTTTATTTGGCCTTGACAGTTACTGGGGGTAACCCCTAATGTACTTTTCTAACTGCTCACCTGGCTACCTCCCCAGCAGTGTACCCTAAATACTTGGTATTTCTCCTGGCCACATGCTTATGGTCCATTCCCTCTCATGATGGCTTCCTCCTCTCCTTTTGTTCCTCCTCTTCCTTCTCCTCCTCCTCCTCCTCCTCCTCCTCCTCCTCCTCCTCCTC